AAGGACAAAAGCTTGAGGGGCTGGACACTCCACTTTCCTGATGTAATTATTTTATGTTGCATACCTGGATCAAAACATCTCATGTACCCCATAAATGTATACACCTACTATGTACCCATAAAAATTCTGTAAAATAAAATATATAAAAAGAGGCGACACGTATGGAAGACAGGCAAAGAAGAGATGGTATCTACATAACCTGAGTCCCTAGAGAGAACGGAGTCCAGCGCGTTTGCTGGTGGACGGCTCAGAGCCACTATTCTGAGCCAAATTTCTCTGGCTGTCAGTACGCCCTACCAATACGTGGGCGATCCTGTTTTATTTCAGGATGGATTTTTTGAAATTATAGATTTAAGTATGCTTTCTGTTCTATTACTTTTGGTAATTAATTTTAGAAAGAACTAATTTGGACAAAAATTCAAAAAAATTCTAATAAAACACACACACAATCATCTATAAGGGGGTCGATGGCTGGCCCCAGATTTCTCACTGCCACCTTCAACACGAGTACCTGGTAGGACAGCACCTGTTGGGTCCTCAAGGGGGAAAGAGATGGCTGATAATCCAGAGTCCTTCAAGAACAAAGGCTGCTGAGAAAGAGTCCAAGCATCAATACTCCGTCATCTCATGATAAAACAACCAGAGAAGGACTGCCAGCCATCAAAAGGTGCTTGGAGAAACCAGGGCCGAGAACCAGCAGTACATATTAAGCATCCTTAACTGCAAGGCTAAGACAGAAATGACGGGGGGGCACTGTGCGGGCTCAGCAGACGTGAAGCAGGCGGGAAACGGTGTGGACTTTGTACAATGATCAACACACAGAATGGGAGACAGACAGCACTTCGGAATCACTGCCTTGCTCCAAATAACTCCCAGCCAAAGGACTTCAGTAAAACCGAACTGAGCATATTAGACAGCACAAACAAATTCTGAGAAAATAATATTACTGACTACAATCATATGATGCTAGAGACGGAGGGCAAAGGAAGAGGAAGCCGGGTAATTTCATCCTTGTATATAGTAAAGAGCTAAAGTATATTGACCAAAGAAGAACCAAGAATATTTTGGAAAGTTATGAAGTTAGCCACTACACACAGAAGAGAACCAAAAACAAGAAAACTTCAGATGGAAAACTTTTTTGGAAGTATAAAAGTAGAAAACAAACTGCTAAGATAGGATTGAAGCCAAATACATCTATGAAAACAATATATGTGGATGGTCTCAGCTTGCCTATTAAAAGGAAGAGACTTCCAAGTTGGACCCCAAGATAAATCCCAGCTCTATACAGCACATGAATATTATTACACTTAAAATGAGAACAGCTGAAAAAACTTGAGCAAAAGTCACCGCAGGCAAATTCCACTGTTTCCTCTGGGACAAAATGTCAAGCTCTGTGCCAGGGAAGATGACCCTCCTCAGACCTTCCCTCACTCTCCCAGTCCTCTTAGGGTAGGAATCTTTTCACTTAAACCTTTTTATTCCCTTTGGTAACTTTTCACGATGTCGACTCATCAGCTGCAGCGGTGGCAGGCTCCTGCATTGCTCCTGACCTGGGAAATGAAGCCTCAAGACTTTTTCCACTGTCCTTGCCCACAAGGGCCTTCCTCCCAGAGGAGAGTGCCCAGGCCGGCAGGAGCAGCAGTGGAAGCATGGAAACCATGTCTCCAACAGCAGAGACCATCTGCTCTCTGGAGAATAAGGGATATTCCCTTATCCCTCAGGTATAAGGGATACGGCGCACTCTCCCCAGCCTGGGGGTGAGGGACAGCGTCATTCCTCACAGTGGTGCCCCTGTATTCCAATCATCTGGCCCACCACCGACCAGCCAAGAGCCAGCCCCTCGCCAGCCTGGAGCCCGGCCAGCTCACCAAGCTGCGGTGTAGGCCTGGAGGGCATGGAGCCCCACTGGGGTGTCCTGTCCTCCTGGAAGGCATGGAGCCCCGCTGGGGTGTCCTGTCCTCCTGGAAGGCATGGAGCCCCGCTGGGGTGTCCCGTCCTCCTGGAAGGTATGGAGCCCCGCTGGGGTGTCCCGTCCTCCTGGAAGGCATGGAGCCCCACTGGGGTGTCCCGTCCTCCTGGAAGATGTGGAGCCCCACTGGGGTGTCCTGTCCTCCTGGAAGATGTGGAGCCCCGCTGGGGTGTCCTGTCCTCCTGGAAGGCGTGGAAGATGTGGAGCCCTGCTGGGATGTCCTGTACTCCTGGAAGATGTGGAGCCCCGCTGGGATGTCCTGTCCTCCTGGAAGGCATGGAGCCCCGCTGGGGTGTCCCGTCCTCCTGGAAGGCATGGAGCCCCGCTGGGGTGTCCCGTCCTCCTGGAAGGCATGGAGCCCCGCTGGGGTGTCCCGTCCTCCTGGAAGGTGGAAGATGTGGAGCCCTGCTGGGGTGTCCTGTCCTCCCGGAAGATGTGGAGCCCCGCTGGGGTGTCCCGTCCTCCTGGAAGATGTGGAGCCCCGCTGGGGTGTCCCGTCCTCCTGGAAGATGTGGAGCCCCGCTGGGGTGTCCTGTCCTCCTGGAAGGCATGGATCCCCGCTGGGGTGTCCCGTCCTCCTGGAAGGTGGAAGATGTGGAGCCCTGCTGGGGTGTCCTGTCCTCCCGGAAGATGTGGAGCCCCGCTGGGGTGTCCCGTCCTCCTGGAAGATGTGGAGCCCCGCTGGGGTGTCCCGTCCTCCTGGAAGATGTGGAGCCCCGCTGGGGTGTCCTGTCCTCCTGGAAGGCATGGATCCCCGCTGGGGTGTCCCGTCCTCCTGGAAGGTGAAGGAGTGGAGCCCTGCTGGGGTGTCCTGTCCTCCTGGAAGTTATGGAGCCCCGCTGGGGTGTCCCGTCCTCCTGGAGGATGTGGAGCCCCGCTGGGGCGTCCTGTCCTCCTGGAAGGCGTGGAGTATGTGTTGCCCCCCTGCTTCTGGGCCCACACCCACCCTTGTTGCTGACCCCAGGCCTTTCCCTTTGGCTTGGATGTCCAGGGCCCTGTCCCAGCCAGAGAGCTGCTCCAACTGGAGGACCGTCTTCGGCAGGATCTAAAGGTCACATCGTAAACAGCGTGTGTGCCAAGTGAGCAGAGTGCCCTCTCCACTGCCCTCGGGCTGCAGCTCAGCTCCAGCCTTGCTCAGGGCAGCCAGGCCAAGAGGTGTCTTCCAGGCTAAGTTTCTGAGGGGAGACAGAGCCCCCAGGAGATGCCAGCTGTAGGGAGAGGCTGGGGGGCCAACTCGGCCTGGCCTGTGGGCCCTGCCCTGGCCACCCATTGCCTGAGCCAGCCACCACGGCTGTGTCATCGCGTGATTTCTCTGGTGTGTGCTTGTGGCGGGTGGGGGCAGAGACTGTGCTCCAGGACCCAGCTGTAGGATGCTGTGGAAGGAGCTCGGCCCAGGTACCAGCAAAGCCATGGGCATGGGGGTCTCTGGTCCCTCCACAGCTCTCACAAGGGGCCACATGCCGGTGCCTTATAGGCCTTGTGGGCCTGCTGGAGCTACCGGCCTCTGCAGTGTGTGGAAAGGCAGGACCCAGGCTGGGGCTCAGCATGAGGTGTGGTGGGCTCCTCCCTGCCCGTCAGGACAGGAGGCACAGAGGGCAGGAGCTGGTGCTTCTGGAGGGGCCTGGAAGCCCCACCCCTTACCCCCTGCAAAGGACACAGGAGGTCCCAGAGCTGAGACCGTCAGATAAAGAGCCTTGGGAAAGGAGCTGGGGGCTTCCACCACGCACTGTGACCCCCCACTGCTTCCCCAGAGAGCAGGACGCCAGTGCAGGAGAGGGAAGGCCGGGCTCTCCCCTCCCCAGCCCAGGGATCCAGAGGCCCAAGCATGGGGGCGGGAGGCACAGCCCACCCTCAGCCTGCTCCCTCGACCCTGCCAGCACCCCCAGGGCAGCAGTCCCCAGGGCACAGAGCCACTCCCCCAGCACCAGGCCCCCTCCTCCTCACTCCCCTCCTAGCCCCTCACAGGTGCCTCCTGGGCCATCAGGTTCCTAAACAGATGGGTTCTCAGACCCTCGTGGCTGGAGGTGGGTTCTCTTGTCATTCCCACCCCAGGACATCATCCGCAGGCTGGCAACTGTCCAGCTGTGTCTAGAGAGACCCACTGCCCCAGACAGCACCTCAGAGTCCCCCGTCCTGCCTGGACTCCTGCAGGAAATCCCACAAACCACCCCCATCCTGTCCACACCCCTATGGGAGCCCCAACTCTCTCCCCACATCCAGGCTTCCCTCCCAGACCCATCATCCAGTCCACACGGTGCCTGAAGGAGCCTTCTTGAGCGGCACCTAAGAAAGCCCCCCACACCCTCAGCCCATTCAAGGCTCTCAGGCCCCTTTAAATCCAGCCTCAGCAAACCACCGGCATATCCTCCAGGCTCAGGCCACAGCCTCCTGGCCTTTCTTTGCCTTGGCTGTTCCTCTGCCTGGAACTATGCCCTGACATAGACTCTCCCCAGCAAGCCTGCAGGGGCATCTCCCCTCCCCCCAGACACCCACTGCCCCTCAGTTTACCCCCAGCAGAGACCCACACTGGGCACACCCCCATGCTCACACCTGGCTGCGGGCCTTGGCCTCCCTGAGGGCCCCGTCCAGCCCATGTCTGGCTGGGGGTGCACGCAAAGCCCCTCACCCAGGCTCGGCGGGGGGCACCAGTGCAGCCCTGGGAAGGGTCTCTCCTTACACCACTTTGCCCCTTCCCTGGCACCACCATGGGAAGAGCTGAGACCTCACTGAGGACAGCTGAGGTGCAGGGAAGGGACCCAGCACTCGTGGACACACAGGGAGCCCGTGCCCCAGTGCCGTGGTGAGTGAAGCCCAGCGCCCCCCGCCCCAAGGACTCCCGTTCAGTGTCACGAGGGTGACAGGCAGAAGCAACCAGGCAGCCCCGCCGGTTCCCACAGACGGGATCAGAGCAGGAAAGGCTGCCTGCCCTGCCGGCCTCCAAGGAGCCCTGGCAGGGTCCGCAGCCCTCCAGGCGAGGGGGTCCCCCAGCCACCGCCCCCCAGGCCTCTGCAGCTGAGAAAGCAACTCAAAAAGCGGACGGCTGGGAAGTGGCGCGGCAGACCCGGCCTCAGACCTGCGCTGCTTTCTGAGAGGAAAGGAAAAGCACCCGTGGCACCCAGCACTCTAATGACTCTCAGCAACAGCAAATGACCGGCACGAGACTCCAGCGTGACTGCGAGGGCTGAGGGGGGGTCGCCACTTCTTCTGGGACTGACGGTGGTGGGGAGAGCACTGGCAAAGGTGCTGGGGAAGCCAGACCCCGACCTGAGCTGGGGGCCACAGCCAGGCCCGCCCCCCGGCCCCCCAGGGCCCCTACCAGCCGCGGGGTTTTGGCTGAGCTGGGAGCCACTGTACTAACTGGGGTCATGGTGATTGGCAGCTCTACAAAAACCATGTCCCCAGGGACCCCTCGTTGGGTTCCTGCAGCCCCGGGCTCAGGGCGGGCTCACCAGGCCTGATTACTTGGACTCCTGGGGCCCCAGCACCCGGGTCACCATCTCTTCAGGTGACTCTGCTGTCCGGGGACGGTGGGGATCCAGGTGCGCTGGGCCAGGCAAGGGCTTTGGCCTCAGACCTGAGGACAGGCACTCAGCGAGGGGTCAGCGGGAGGGTGGAGGGCATGTTTTTGTGTGGGAGAAGCAGGAGGGCAGATGCTGTGCTACTGGTACTTCGATGTCTGGGGCTCGGGCACCCTGGTCACTGTCTCCTCAGGTGAGTCCCGCTGCAACCACTTCCCCATCTTCTCTGTCTGGGCACCAGGCCAGGTCCCTGGGATCTGCAGCCAGTCCGAGTCTGGCCTGAGGCCACAAAGGTGCCATCCCTGGGGTCTCCGCCACAGGCTGCACGCCAGACCGCTGCTGTCACTTAGCCCTGGGGCCAGCTGGAGCCCCCAAAGACAGGCAGGGTCCCACCACAGGTGGCAAGCAGGCCGAGGACAGGGACGGGGCTGGCCGGGAAGGAGAAGCTGTGGGCAGAGCCAGGGCTGAGGCTGGGCGCCGGCTGTCCATGTGCCCGGACCTGGCCGATGCTTCAGTGCAGCTTCCAGTGCTTGGAGCGCTAGGGCCAGGGCGCCCCAGCCACCGTCTCCCTGGGTGACTTCCCCTCCATCTCAGCCGGGGTCTGTGTGGCTGGAGACAGGAGCGCCGGCCGCCTCTGCTCTGTGCTTGCGCAACGTGACCCATTTGAGCGTCCTGCAGGCAGGGGTTTGTGTCTGGGCAAGAACAGGGACTGTGTCCCTGTGTGATGCTTTAGATGCATGGGGCCAAGGGACCATGGTCACCGTCTCTTCAGGTAAGACGGCTTTCCTTCTGCCTCCTTGCTCTGGGCACAGCTTCTCTCTCCTGGAGCTGAGAGATTAATGTCCAGGGGCTCCTGGGTCTGTGCAGGGCCGTGTGGGGCTCTCCGGGGCTCCTTCTGGGGCTGCCTGAGCCACGTTCAGCAGATGACCTTTCTTCGGGGGTCAGGACTCTGCTCCTGGGGTGAAGGGTGGGCAGAGTCATGCTTGTGCTGGGACAGGGTGACCTTGGGACACAGAGCTGGCTGCCCAGCCCGGGACAGGTGGAGAGTTGGGTTTTTGCACACCTCTTAACGGGGCCTCTCACAATGTGACTACTTTGAATACTGGGGCCAGGGGACCCTGGTCACCGTCTCCTCAGGTGAGTCCTCACAACCTCTCCCCTGCTTTAACTCTTCTCTGGGGTTGTGCTGCATTTTGGGGGAAAATGAGTGTGTCTTGGTCTTATGCCAAGAAAGCCTGGGAGCAGCCTTGGGGGCTCAGGAGAATGCCCCAGGCCACGGCAGCCACTCCGACAAAGGTCAAGGGCTCCAGACGCTTCCTCCTCCTGGGCCCAGCACTGGGGTCTCTCCGTGGTCAGGGCCACCCTGGGCCCTCCCTGGGCTCAGTCTGAGAGGGTCCCGGATACTTAGCCGGGGATCGGTTCTTGCCGGGGTCCTGGCATTGCTGTCACAATGTGACAGCTGGTTAGCCTCCTGGGGCCAGGGCACCCTGGGTCACCATCACCTCAGGTGAGTCCTCACCCCCCCCCACTCTGAGTCCACTTAGGGAGACTCAGGGTCGTAGTCTTGGAGACTTTTTGGAGGTCAGGAAGGAAAGACGGGGAGAGGGATCCTTCCAATGGGAACCCAGCCTCCCCTTCCCCAGGCTTGGCCACAGGTGTCGGGGGCTGGGGCGCCCCTTTGTCTGGTCTGGGGTGGCCACTCTTGGCTTCATCTGGAGCATTGCCAGGGGCTGTCGTGTTGGTTGCGGGACAGGGCTCTGTCCTGTTCCAAGGCACCTGCTCTCTGGGACAGGTGCCCCCAGGGTGTTTGGACTCCTGGAACAACTTAGGAGCCGTATGCTTGCACTCGGACTTCCCAGGCCACAGGGGTCTGGCTTCTGAGGGGTCAGGCTGGAATGTGGGGTCTGTGGGAGGCCAGCAGAGGGTTCCATGAGAAGGGTCAGGACAGGGGCATGGACAGTTGGCTTCCATGTGATACCTGGAGACAGAGGGTCTCTGGGTGGCTGCGAGCAATGTGAGCCGGCACCCAGGGTTTTTGTGGGGTGAGGATGCACATTCTGCCATTGTGATTACTACGGTATGGATCTCTGGGGCCAAGGGACCCAGGTCACCGTCTCCTCAGGTAAGAATGGCCACTCTAGGGTCTATGTTTTCTGCTAGTGCCTGTGGGGTTTTCTGAGCATTGTAGGCTGGTCCTCAGGACAAGTTCCAAGGGGACCTGGGTGGGCTGGCCAGGAGGGGACAGGCACTGGGGGGCCTGGGGGTCTCGGAGCCTCTGTGGATTTTCTGATGCCTTTGGAAAATGAGTCTTATGTTGGGTGCGTCTGATGGAGTAACTGAGCCTGGGGGCTTGGGGAGCCACTTTTGGATGAGAAGCCAGAGCAAACCAGGGCTCCATGGCTGGAGGGCCACTGTGGGGGCCCCTGCCGAGGTGCTGGGGTCTTAGTGATGGCTGAGGAGAGTGTCTCAGGAGGGAGCGGTGTCGGCAGGACTGCAAGGTCGTGGCACACACAGCCAATAGCGAAATATTTTCTTTAGAATGCCGAGGTTCTTTGTGTGAGAGATAAACAGATAAATTCTTTATCTCCAGCCAATAAAGAATTTAAGCTGCATTTTAAATTCTTTATTGGCTGGAAAGAGAGCTGTGAGAGTGGGTGAATCCAGCCAGGAGGGACATGTAGCCGTGGTCTTGATGAGAGCAGGGTCGGGGGCAGGGGCAGCCCAGAAAGGGCAGCTGCTGATCTGATAAGGACTTAGGGGGGCCTCCTGAGCTTCCAAGAGAAAAGGATTCTTCATCTTAAGAGGCGTGCTTACTAAATGTTAAAAGACAGGATATGTTTGAAATGGTTCCTGAGAAAAATGGTTTAAGAAAATTCTGACTTAAAAATGTGACAGCTTTTCAAGTATATTAATTTTTTTAACTGTGCAAGTATTTTAAATTCTTATCATTCGATTAACACCCCTGAGCCATCTCTCTCTGGAACTGAGGCCAGAGCAAGTTCAGCTAAGAAATACTAGCACAGTGCTGTCAGCCCCGTGCAGGACTGAGTTTTGACAATCATAAATCAAGTTTATTTTTTTAATTAATTAGTGAAGCTGGGAGCGGACGCTGAGTTAGAGCCAAGATGGCTGCATGAGGGTCTCGGGTACCCACAGCAGGTGGCAGGAAGCAGGTCACCGCAAGAGTCTATTTTAGGAAGCGAAAAAACACACTTGGTAAATCTGTCACTTCTGGGTGTGACGCCGTGGTTTTGCCAGGCCCAGATCTGAAAGTGCTCCATGGGCAAAACAACACCTGGGCCATTTGCGTTTCTAAAATAAGGTGAGGCTGACCGAAACTGGAAAGGCTCTTTTTTTAACTGTCCAAACTTAATTTCCAGTCTTAGCTTATGAACTCTAGTTTGTGCAAACAGCATACCAACTTCTAAACTGCATTCATTTTCAAAGTAAGATGTTTAATAAATTTAACAGTCTTAGGAAGAACTTATGACTATATTCAAAAAACTTTTTAAATTAGTTTATTATCCCTTCATGTGATAATTAATCTGAGACTTTTTTCAATATCTCGGAACATTATTTTTATAATGACTGCGCTCACAATTTTTTTTAGGTTAACCTGTTTTCTCTTTGTGATTAAGGAGAAACACTTTGATATTCTGATAAAGTGGCTTTCATTTTAGTATTTTTCAAGACCACTTTTCAGCTACTCATTTTAGGGTAAGTTTTAGGTGAAATGTGCATAATTATCCTGAATTATTTCAGTTGAACATGTTAGTTGGTGGATTAAGAGAAAACTCAGTCATACAGAAGGACAGGTTCTGTTTGGAATCCCGGGTTTGGCCTCAGCAGGAGTGGCCTATCGAGGCTTTGGGAGGGTGGCCACCAGGTGACCTCCCAGAGCCGGGATGCATGGCTTATGCATGCTGCTCGGGACCCAGCCCTTGTTAACTGACTCGGAGGAATTATTCCATGCCAAAGCCTTGCACGGCTCGAAGTGACCAGACCCCCGACACGGTAAGAGACAGGCAGCCAGCGCTGCCACACCTGCTTCTCTGCAAACTTTGTATTTGATGTCTTATTTCCACCAGTGGGGGAATCGGTCTTCAGTGCTTGATGAAGAGCAAGAGACTCATTTGTGTGAGTCTTTTGAGTGACCGTTATCTGGGTCACTCCCATTTAACTTTCTCTGAAGCCCATTTCGAGGAGAGGTCCCATGAGCTGCTTTGCAGCCCATGGATGGGGCCGGCCTGGTTCATGGCGCTGGAGAATATGCCAAGCCTCACTGGCATCGCCCTTGTTTAAGTCACAGACTGTAGGTCATCATCGCGCCCTTGAAAGTAGCTCATGCCTTCCAAAGCAATTTATGATAAATGGCAGAATTTTAAGTGGCAAATTCAGATAAAAATGCATTTCTGGGTTGTTTCCAATGATGACTGTTATCTAGAGGGAATGTTAAGGCAGGGGCTTATTTCAGACTCAGGAGGGAGGAGATGCTCCAGAAGGGTGGAGGCTCTGAGCACTCGGTGCAGAGGCTGTACTGCCGCTTCTAGAACAAGGGGAGCTGCTCATTTTTATCACAGTACAAGCTCCTAAGTTCTGGTCTAATTCTCAAGATGTTTTAATGACTTTAAAGAAGCAAAGAAATATTCCACCCAGGTAGCGGAGGGTGGTCATGCTTGGTACTGCTTTGGAAACAAAACCCAGGTGGTGCTGGGGCAGGACTGCAGGAAATTGGGGTATCAAGTAGAGGGAGACAAAAGATGGAAGCCAGCCCAGCTGTGCAGGAGCTCGGCAATGAGATGGCTTCAGCTGAGGCAAGCAGGTCTGGCAGGCTGACCGTTTCTAACAATTCCATCAGCTTTCAGAAATGGACTAGGATGGGTAAAACTGACATGAGCTAACCTAGACTAAACAAGGCTGGGCTGGGCTGAGCTGAGCCGGGCTGAGCTGGGCTGGACTGCGCTGAGTTGTTGAGCTGACCTGAGCTGAACTGGGCTTAAGTGGGGTGTGCTGGGCTGAGCTGGGACAAGCTGGGGTGGGCTGGGCTGAGCTGAGAGGGACTGAGTTGAGCAGACCTGGGCTGAGCCGGGTTGAGATGAGCTGAACCAGGATGAGCCAAGCTGAACCAGGATGAGCCAGGCTGAGCTGAGCTGAGCTGGGCCAGGCTGGGCAGAGCCAGGCCAAGCTGGGTTGAGCTGAGCCGAGCTGAGGTGAGCTGAGCTGAGCTGAGCTGACCTGGGTTAGGTTGAGCTGAGCTG